CGGCAGCACAGTGCCCCCTGGCGCAAGCGCCCGCACCCGCGGCCACCGCGGCACTCAGCGCGCTGGGGCACGAGAAACGGCAATCAAGCTCCTTCAGAAGCTGCAGAAAAAACATCCCAGTCTGTGCAGAAGGAAATACACGTACCTCCCGACGCTGCAGCCAAGCCCTAAACACAGCACAGCAAAACTTACCCTTTCTTAAACGAGGGAGTTATATATGCCTACCCGAGATTCCTTGATAATGCTACTACCGTAGATCGATAAAGAACTCAAGAGCAAAGCTCTCTGGTTCCTCAGCTCTCCCCACACTGCCCAGCCTTTGGCTAAGCTGGGGCAGCTCTTACTCAAGCCAGTGCACGCCCTGAAGTACACTGAGAGGGGTCAGGGAGATCTTTGCACTAGCCATTTAGTATATTAATACTCATAGAAGCACAAGCAAAGTAAACAAAACAAAAATGTTCCAAGTGCTAACAATGCCAAACTATTAAACAGAGTCATTGCTTCAGCAGTAGGATCTTCTCCCACAGATCCAGGACAAAGATGATCCCATGAAACTGCATGTGGCACTTTGTGCTATGGACTAGTAACGATGGTAGTTACTAACAATGGTAATAACGAAGGTCTAGTAACGATGGTTAGACTCGATGATCCTTGAGGTCTCTTCAAACCTGGTTGATTCTATGATTCTATGAAAACACCCACAAATCCTTGAGAGATTTCTGATGTGTGCAGTACTGTTAACTAGCAGCAAGTGTACTGTACCACGGCGTTGGGCTCAGCAGAAAAATTCTCACTTAAAAAGACACTGTAGCAAAGATCAAATGTTTGGAGCTGAAACAGTCCATGCTTGCCATCTTTAAAGGTCTGTCAGCACTTTTCCCAGCACCAGCAGATAAATTAGTGTAGATGTGAACCAAACTCAGTGTGTAATACCTCACATTTTGTCTAATAGCATTTTCATAAGTTTTAGTTGCATATTATTTCACAGAAATAACTGTGCAAAAAGTTTGCCTCTTTTTACAAAAGCATCTGTATCAAACAAGAGGCTGTACATTACACTCACAAAAATCCAGTTGTTTATTGCTTTCCATTGACCCAGCATCATATGGAAAGATGGACAGGATGGGCAAGCCAAAAGGCAGACCCAGGAACAATCATAAGAGAAATATCACTAAAGTACAATGAACGCACACTACACTCAATAATATAATCTGTGTTTTTATTTCTATCCCAGATTGGGAACAGAAACATTCCACTGCAAAGGGAGACTGACAAACACAATAAAAGCACTTGTAACTAACATAGCCTTTCATGCCATGTAACAACCCAAGCAGCTTTTTTTCTTTGGGTTGTCCTTTCTGCCAGTTGCTTCACAGGAAGCATTTGTACCTGCCCTTAAGACGCAGCTGCTACAGGTGTGACCCAGTCTTTATCATCATTGGTGACTTGCCTTACCTAGAATTGCTTCTGTCTTTGCTCAACAGTATGGTAAGGAAACAAGGAGTTAGGGCTGAGTCATCTATGCATGAGCTGTCCCTGTTTGCTCACTCCCGGACATTCTCAGTGCCCAGCGGACAGACTGTGGCAGCAACAAGCCAAACACCAGAACGGGACATTAGAGGGCAGCAAGCACTTACTGCTGCCTGGCTTTATCCAGCCATAACCAAGGGAAAGGTAAACAAACACCTGTCCCCCAATGCTTGGCGGGGAGAAAAGGTTTCCATGCCCATTCCAAAAAAGAATTCTAAACGAATTTCCTGGTTTTGAAGAACTGCAGCATACAAGAGGCAGATTTAGAAATATACCACACCCAGCTGAACTGAGTGAACAGGGCAACGTTAATTGCAACAACCTGGAGAGTTTCTATAGCACTTCAAGAACATTCAGGTCACTCAGACAGTAACTTGTGAAATCCAGAGCACCATAATCTCATGTGAAAGGACTTTTATTTATGAAAGCGTGATTAAGACTCCTTGCAATATACACAGACAACCCCTACTCCAGCTGTACCAGGCAGGAATTGCAATGCTACAGTTCACACAAACAACATGCAGAACGATGCTCTGATCATTGGTTATCTCAAGTGGGTTTTTTTTTTTTATTCAGAAGGACACCTGAGGAAAGGCTGTCTGGCACTGAAAGTTATCATTAAGGCTTTTTACATGTTCTAACAAAATGAAGCTATTTAAAGTACCGACATTCCTTACCATAAAACTCCAATTACACCACCAGGTTCTGTAACAGTAGAAAAGAAAGTTTCAAAGCCATTTTTATAAGCCTCACTTGAGAGATGCCAAGAAATAGACACTGAACTTCCTTTTCATGCTCAAAATAGTGATTCATGACAGAACATTTTTGGAAAACTCACATTTTCACAGTTCTTTTAAAATTACTGCAGAGCCCTTTTATTTCTCTAGTTGCCTATCAGCATTATAACAAATTAAACTACTTAAGGTCTAAAGGCTGAGGACTAGTGAAGTGATGCACATGAAAAGAGTAAAACGAGTAGGCTCAAGCCCTCCATTACTAATTTGTACAAAGAGTCGAGGAGAAACTCTGCAATATGTGCTTTTATTTCACTTACCCATTTTGTGACCTCAGGAAAAACAGCTTGAGGAGGAGCATGTAGTGAACAAAAGGGTTAGAGTACTTATTTCTAAAAAAAAAAAAAAATAATGAAACAAAACCCACAAAACACCACCACCAAAAACCAAGCCAAACCAGTGTCAGCCCTATCAAAAGCTGTTGCAGCCATGCCAGTATAAGGATGCAAACAAGGCATCATTCATGAGCAAAAGATGCAGTCCTAGATTTGCCTGGGTGCTGCAGCTGGATGATGCACACAGGCACACAACAGTTTAGGGTTCTTTCTTTGCTTGTTTGTTTAGGTTTTGGGTTGGTTTGTTTTGTTGGGGTTTTTATTTTGGTATTTTTGCCCCAGGAGCAGCCCATACACACTTTGGGAGGCACCGAAGATGGTTACACTGAAAAGGGAACACATAACTGAAATTCAATGTCTGGCTGCACAGTCTCTAGCTCTTAAGTGGTCTAGCATGTAAAAACACTTTGAACTACAAATACCTATTACAGATCTTAACATGCAACAAGAGCCACAAATTCTACCTTACACGCTTCTTCCACCACCAAGTGGTGGAAATGCTCCTCAGAAAAGGGCATTTAGTGACAAAGGCTGTAAGGGTACTCCAAAGCACAAACGCTTTATCACGTAAGAAAACTAGCCAAACACACAGTAGCAAGCCTGCCCAAAGAGCCTGAGCTGGAAGCTTAAGCTCTGCTTTGCCTTCTGCAAAGAAAGTGGCCCTGCTACTCCACAGCTAAAGCCTAAACACCAGCAGTTCACAACAGAGAAGGTAATGTGAGAATTTCAGTATGAGGGTGCCAATAAGGGATGGAACAAGACCTTGAACAAATCACTAGCACTTTCATGGGGGTTAAGTCTAACCCAGTATCAACCAAAAATAGCTTTCAAACCAGAGAAAGCTTCCTGATCATAAGCTAGCCACCTGCCCTAAGGAAGCTGCTGTGAACCACAGACTGCAAGACAAAGTATCAAGACACCCTTCTCAGCTGTGAGAGACAAAGCAGCCTCCAGGCACTCCCCTGAACTCAATAAATCCCCACTCTTAAAAGCAAGCTGTGCAACTACATGTATTTAGTACAGTCCACATTAAAAGCATTCACAGCTTGTTTGACCTTAAGGGATGTTAGGTTCACAGACCAAATATCCCTCACACTTCTAGTTCTTCTCCATTCTATCCCAGAAAAACATGAGAGTTTTCCCATTACTCTGCATGCTTCTGGACTTAAAATGGATATCTACCAAGACTTGTTAGTTAAAGGGAAAGCAAGATCAGATGCATTCTCCTCCGACTCCATTTAAAATTGTCTTTATTTCAGTCATTTTAAGCAGAAACCTCTCACAGCAGTTGGGATAAGCAGGCTGTTATACCATTACACTGTTACATTCAATTGCAGAGATACATCTCACTTCATACAAATATAAGCAAAAGGTGTGTTTGTGGTGAGGCTTTTCAAGGAGCAGTTCCTAAATGTCTCAGTGTGCCAAGAACATCGACCTGCACTCTTTGCATCAGGAGGCCAACTGGGAACACAGTACCCCTCGCCCGTGGAACACAGGGGGAATTAAACTGGTGTGTCATGACAAACCTTACCTGACAGAAAAGCACATTCAACTTGCTTGAGGAATCCAACTGTTCACCTATATTCAGTATTGTCATGGGTGGGGGTTCTTAATTGCACAAAGGTACAAAGCACTACTTCTTGGATTACTTAAAGTTAAAAATGAGCACTACCCTCGAGTCTTCACTCTTAAAGTATCTGAGGCACAAGTATGTGTGTATACTTGTTTTATTTATAATTTGTCTTGGGATACCAAATGTATTTCTCCTTCAAGTGATTCAACAAAATAGTTGACCTCATTTCAAAACATCCACTGATCCATTTTCCATTCAATGGCAATATCGAATGTTAAAAGGAACATAAAAACAAACATGCACACAATTGTACAGTTTTCATAAATGTCTATTTCATTATTTGTGGGTAGCGCATTAAACAGTTAAATACATTTAAATAATGTTTAAGTGACTGCACTAATTCAGAATTTTAACTAGATGGGTAACCAATTTAACTAGAAACCAGCTAACAAGTAACTGTCTAAATACTTCAAATACAGCTCTTGTTCTAGGTCATCCTTCCTGGAAAAAAAAGCCTGCTGGTCATATTGGAAATACATTTTAAGGCCAAATTCTTCTGATATCCCTTCTCTGCAGCAGTTTCTTCACCTTTTTAAGCCTCCAATTCCAGGCCAAGACCAAGTTTATGGCCACCAGCATTGATGCTCTTTCCATCTATCAGGGCAGACAGCGTAAGCTTCACACCTGTAAGATTTTTAAGCAACATGTTCAGAACACAGAGCAGAGCTTTCATGCAACACAACATCCATCATTACAAGTCCCAGCTGTAGCAATTTTTCTGTCACTATTTTCCTCTAAAGATTTCTAAGGAAGAATCCATTTACCCATGAAATCTATTCCAAGTTAGCTATGTGCACCAAGACAGATGCCTTTTGTAAACACTGTGTTATAAAGGGGATAAACAAAGTCTCTAATTGCTAAGTAGACATGAGCTCTCCTGTGCTAGAGGTGTGCAATGGATAAGGAAAATTTATGGACAGACAGACAGACACTTGTACCAACAGAGGGATGGAATGAAACTACATTTTTATTGGTTTTCACATTAGGAACTAACCAGTGGTAATAAAGCATTAACAGGTGTTTTCATATTTAAGCAGAACAAGTTAAATTCTGGAGGGTTATCTTACTAAATATGAAGAGCAGGAAGTGTGAGGGTTTGACAACTAGTAATTATTTCAAGGCCTGCTATCATTCCATGTGAAATGTTCAGAGAAAGCAATGACAAAAAAAAAGGAAGACTGTTTTGCCTAGCCTAAAGCTATCCTATCAAACACAATCCAATCCATTCCTGTACAAATCAGTGAGGAATACAATGCATTAATACCATTACATAAAATGGAGTGTGTCTTGTTTAGATAGAGGTTTGATGTGCAACATAAGTTTGTTTGCCTTCAAGACAAAATTTTTCTGAAGAAGGAAAATAGTTGCATATAAATGCATAGATGTCAGGTGTTTTCTTTGTGATGCATAAAAGGTATATATGTGACACAATTCATGTCATAACTCTTACCTGGCCTCAGAGTTTGGGTGTAACCCACTCCAACTAGACTAGAATTGTTCACTTTTGCCTAAAAAAACAACAAACAAAGAAGGACAAAAGCAATGCTATTGATTAGTTCTTTGTCATCATTCAGAAACCAGAATAACTATGGCAACACTGCCATTATCAGCTTAACCAAATTCTACTTGTTCTTTCAATACCTCTCTGCTTTCTGAATTCTCTCTTTCCAGCTTGCCCAACTTACAGCTGAAACTGTAAGAGCTTTAATAGGCTGAATATTTAAGAGCAGACAGAATGTAAGGGTGGAGAGAACTGTTACTGGAATGTGGTTTCACAGGTGAACGTCCCCACTTCCCCCTTTTCAGAAGGCAACAGCCACTAACCACCAGTGTCCCAAGAGATGCCACTTCAGAAGAATCCTCCATGTTTGTATTACGAAAGAATTAATACCTTGCAAGTCCAATCAGTCCAGCAGCAAATATTTCATAATATCATGATAAACAGTACATGCAAAATCATTTAGCTCACTTTGCATCACTTCCTCAACAGGATGATTCCAATGATCCAGGTTCAATCCTAACTTCATCACAGACAGAAAACTTTTCTGCCTATCACATTTTTTCATCAGTATTGCCAGATGAGAATGTGACAAGGCTCCCCAAAACCTGGTTTCAAAAAACCTCTTTAAACTAGACATGAGGGGGTTTATTTTTTAATTGTATTTTTCTTTTAATAAATACAGTCCCAGAGAGGACACAACATTCAAGTTAGATTCTGAGGAAGGCTTTGCTGTGTGCAATATTACAGAACTTAAATACTGCTGGTTTAAATATAACTACCTGGATCGTAAGAGTAATTCCTACAAGACTTCCGGACCTATTTCCTTCTTTTGTACTAATAACACAGGTTGGCAGAAACCAAAAATACTCTGCACCTAGCACAACCCTCCAGGTTACAGCCACACTCACCGAGATAGAAGCAGTGGAATCCAACTTGTATTTAGCCGCGATGCCAAAGCGAGTGCTGTTGCTCCCTGCTGTCCAAGCCAGGTTTACAGCAGTTTCAAGATGGTCACTCACTTTTTGGTAAATTGACCCACCAAATTCAGAACCATCATTGCTACACAAATGAAGAAAAAAGTTAGTTTCCTATATTTACATAATCCCCTTTTTATATTTTTTTGCTTAACTACTTCAAATTTTAATTCAAATGACAATTCCAGAAGCTGGGAGTTGTTTCACATTTCTTGACAAGAGAAGGGGAGATGAACAAAGGTTTCAGGGCAAAATTTAACTGCAATAATTCACGGAAATAAGAAGGTATTTCAGAGTCCTACAGCTAATTCTCACACTGATGTTGAACAAACTCCTTGAATGACATTCCAGCTCACATCCTTAGAAAACTGACAGATAAATGTAGTGAATGGGCATTCTGAATTGTATGATTATTGAATACATATGATATACCTAAAACACTAGATGGCCTTTTAAAAAATAGCTGTCACAATGTTTTACATTAATAAACTGAAATGTAATTCTTACAGTCCAGAATATAAAGTGATCCACAGTTTTCTCCATTACCCTTCAAGTTCCATAAATTTGGACATGTACAAGCCCCATCCTTCCCCTCCAAAAGCATAAACTTCTACCTCAAGGAAGTTATTTCCTAAATAAATTCACTAGAACTCCACCTATTTTTATTAACCTAGATTTAAAACACCATGTTTTTCAGTAGGTTTTCATCAGCTTGCTCTGAAGTACGTAAGATTTAAAGGCAGGAAGCCTTAAGGAAGTTCACAAACAAGATGTCTTACACTTGTTTATTTATATTGTTTCATGCACTCTTCACCCCTGAGAGGCAAGATGTCCAAAAAGCAAAGCTCTAGTCTTGCTCCAGAAACTACTACTGGCCTACTTAAAACAGAGCAACACTAATTACTACCTCTGACAAATCTACTGCCCATAAATTGTAGTCTGATACAATTCAATGTAATGTGAGAGCCAGAAAAAGTATTATGATCAGCTCTGCACAACTGAACTATTGCACTTCCAATTTACATGCACTTCAGTATTTGATAAGCTGTAGCATATATTATACAGCAAGTGCTAGTGACTCACAGGTGTTTAGTGCTGTGTGAAAAAGAGATACAAAGTATCACATGTATTTAAAGTTTCCTATTGAAAAATGCATTCCATTCAATGGCCTTGTGAGCAGCTCTTAATATTTCAAGTATTTGTATTTTGGCTAGAAGGAAAGGCAGACAAGGCCTGCTTCTGCAAAGCTGGACACAGTCTTCAGTACTTACACATTAGTGTGCAGTTGGAAGTCTCCAGTCTTGTAACCCACAGAGAAATTATTTCTTGTCAATTTTGATTTGGCACTATCAAAAGTCATCTGATAACCAGCAAGCCAGCCTTCATAACCAAAGACAGCTGAACCATGGATTGCAGGTCCAGCAAAATCAAAGTCAACATCACAGCCTAGGTTTAAGCACTCGCGTTTATAAGCCGACTTAATTTTACCACTCTTCTTTCTGAAACAGAGAAACACTTATTTTGAGACAAGGCATGCATGATCTCCTATGAACTGCCAAATTCAAGCCATATGACTCTACCCAACATATCTAAGTGCTATGCACATGCATGCCCCTGACCAGGCAGAAATACAGGCAGCCCACCCAGAGTGCACAGGGCTACCACATATAGGCATCTTCTGGTGAATGTAGCAGCAGTTTCATGCCTTCTGCAATCTTCCAAGTGTTTCTATCCCAGAAAATAAGCAAAGTGAGCTGTTGTGAGATGTGGTATGCCAACCCCATAGAACAGATGTGATGCTAAAGAACAGAAGTTTTTAACACTGGGATTTGCTAATCCAGATCAATAGCAAACCACACAAACAGCTCTGTCAATACCACAGACCAGATGAACAAGCCATAGGTGTGGTTACCCCCTAAGTAAAGTAAAAACGTTAATGATTCTTACCCTGTATTTGGTGAGAAAGTTGTATCAAATGTCAACTTCAAGCCTTTGGCAATCTAATTGAAGAGGGAGAAGATAAGATGAAGCTATAAATTCAGTTCTGCTAGATAGGTAAAAGCAAATAAATACTCTCCTAATCTATTACCTGATCTTCAATTGCAATTTCTGTTCCCAGAGTGTTATCTGTGTTCCATTTTTCTGTGAAAGTCAGCCCATACTCAGCCCACTTGTATTTGGTCTCCAAGCTCCCATTCACTTTTCCAGTGTCTGTGTTCGATGAACCAGATGTTGTGAATTCCTAAAGCAGACAGAAGATATATGTATTCCTGGAAGCATTACATAGTTTTGTTCAGCAAACACTAAGATCTTGTTATTCTATGCCACAGGAGGCAACTTGCAGGGGGAGAAGGGGGAATGGCATAGCCAAGAAGTAGATGATTTATGCTTGCATGGAGGCCTCCCCCAAACCCCATCTCAACTGCAGTGCTCCTGCCACTATTACAAAATGTACAGGGTCCCAACCTAACTCAGCAGCAAGACAGTAGTCACCATAAGTATTCTCCTTAAAAGCAGAAACAAGTTCTTGAAACGTAAGGCTGAGTTTGATCCTCCCAATGAGCAAGTTAAACCGAAAGCCAAGACCTCTGAGAGGCACATAATGCACCTCTGTAAGGGTCACATATGTATTTTCATTATTCCTGTCAACCATCCCCAAGATAAATTATATACAGCTGTGAAATGTCAGAGAATGGCATCGCTTTTCAAATTGGGGGTGGGGTGCATGGTTTGGTATTTTGTTTGGTTTGGGTTTTTGATTGTTTTTTAAAAAGAGTTCTTCGTCTAACCAATGCATCCTCACACCAGCCATAGGCACATATGTTTTACTGACATCTATAAAATTCCTATTCCCCTGGCACCTTGGTTTAATAACACACAGGAATAACATTCATGTTTGAATTGTGAGCTAAGGGAACACTCTGGCTTTATGGTACGGTCTTAGCTGGAATTCTTCAAAGTATTTAGAAGTTAAAAATACCACTCACATCTCTTTATTAAGGGAAGTAGTCCCTGATGTCTCTCACTATTTGGATTCTCACAAAGAGCAGAATGAAGAGTTTCAGTCTACCACTACTGAAAAACTAAAGGCAATACCTAGCAGAAGTTCAAGCCAGTTTTGCAAATACATGTTAAAAAGCTCTTTCCACTGAAATATTATTGCCTATAAGATTTAAAAAGTTTACTATTTCAACTTTTTAAAACATAGAATTAAACATTCTGATCTGTCTTCCTCCACGCACAATATTATTTTCAAGTAGACTTCTCACACTCACCTCCCCTAGAAGGCAACACTGATTTGAAATCACAAATCCTTAAGCACTCTTACAGCTCAGGCTCAGAAAGCACATAGCAAATGCACAGGAGACTGTTCCTTAATCATGGCTGATCAAATTTGACCACGTTAGTGAACCACTAAACCATCCACACAGTTGCACAATCCTAGTAAGGTCTGTTTCTTGGCAAGTGACAGGGACTACACAAATACCTTCAGCTTTAACTTCTTGCTTTGTACTATTCCTACTGTACAGGATCTGTGTGACTGCAACCATTGTGGCAATAGCTTCAAGAGCAGCAAATTATTACATTGTCTCTTATCTCTGCTTTAAAGCACCTGCAGTACATACATCCCAGCAGCATCTCCTCCTGGGAAGAATGGCTTATAACTGATAAGGGATTCACATTAGGGCTTGGATTTTTCACAGTTTTACCAGCATAACTGGAAGCCCTCAACAAAACAAAAAAAAAAAAAAAAAAAAAAAAAAACCAAACAAAAACAAACAAAAAAAAACACACACAAAAAAAAAACAAAACAAAACCAAAAAAAACACAACCACAAACCACACCACCACCCAAGCTAAAGTAAGTACAAGTATACCTCTTACAGGGCTCTTGCAACCTGTGCTTCAGTTGGGATACAGACTTATAGAAAAAACAGTGCATATAACCCACAAATCTTGTTTCTAACAGCAAGTTACACTGTTAAAGCTCCAGTTATGGGGAAAAAAAAATCTACAGTTATATCTTGTAAAGTCTGCTCTAGAAATAGGTAAAAGTTACAGGGGGCACTGCTTGCATGACCAAGATATCTTGCATGGAACATTATCACAATGCTTTAATATCTAGAGGAGCCAAAGATTCAACAGCTAATTCAATGCCAACTACTTCATACAAGCACCAAGATGCTGGAAATTTCCATGAAGTACAAACAGTATCACAAGGTACTTCAGAAATATATTCTACATACACTGGTATATACATTGGTATATCAAAATACTCTAAAAATCTGTCAGCTACTTGTTCACTTTCAGACATAAGACCAGGGACAACTTTTATTTTACAAAGATAACTAATCAGTGCAATACCTGTTACATTCAGATTTTTAGGGGGTTCTGAAATTATTTTACACCAGAAGTTTATCATTCATATAACCTATAAAATACTTAATAGCATCTATCCAGTGGCCCTTCTAACTAAATATCAGAACATATCCATTAAAAAATATAATTAATAGAAGTTATTTAAACTCACCACTCCACTTGCAGATTTTGTTTTCACATCTAGTTTCACCAACCCAAAACCTTAACAAACAGAAGTCAAAGTTACACAATTAGGCTTTTACCTAAGACCCTGCACAGTTTTCAAGCTGGTTTTCCAAGCAGTCTCAGCAGTATGCCATAGATATATATAAACAACTATAGATGACTTCAGCAACATTTTGATTTTAGATGCCACAGCAGGTAACACAGACCACTCCAAAAAAGGCCAGGAGTTCTGTTTGATCATCACCACACAAAGTGGGGAGAAGCCTCTCAGCTGTATACTGCACATTTAACTACCAAATGATGGCTTCCAAGAGTAAACTTAGTGATAGAGGAAATACATAATTTTCTGCTCCTTGAATGGCATCGTTTTTGTAGTCAATGAAGAGCTATCCCAATGCATAAAATTCCTCTCTCAGCACCAAGACAAAATATTTCAAAAGTAAAAAGCAGTAAAGGTGAAGGCACTGGGAAACACACAGCCATTGGAACTGTAATACAAGTAGGCTTTATGGGAGTGACAATTCTCTTTGTTACTCACAGAGTTGAGCAACAATCTTGGTAAAAAAGCACCACCCCCCAAAAAAAAGCCCCAAAGACCAGAAAGAAATAGCACTGCAAAAAAGAATAATTTATCTATGCAACTGCCTGGTATTAAAGCATTTTGAACTGTGGAAGGATTCTTTATCCCAACAATCATTCCTCTTTCTAGTCCAAGAAAAGCTATAATGCCTTTCTATTTCAACAAATGTTGTGGCACAGAGTGGCAAATTTAAACTACACTTGCCGCTTACATTCTTGCATACTTGTACACCTCTGACATTATGTGTCTAGGGCAGTAAGATTTAACATACTTCACATCAAAACAGCTCATGAAAAGCCTCCAATGATCTGCTAGATAACAGTACCGCTATAAAAACAGCACACCTCCTCCCTCCCCAGAAACACAGCAACATGAGCATTCAATTTTACAGACCAAAGTAAAAAGGCAATTCACTGTTGCACCTAAACAAGTTTTATAAAAGGTACTATTCTTACCATATCCTTTATTGAAGATATCTCTGGCAGATTTGCCAAGGTCTACATATGATGGAGGAATCGCCATTGGAGCTGAAAGGTAAAGGACTAATTAACAGTGAATCTTTTAACACTATGCACATAAAAAAATGCTACTACAACTCTTTCAAGATACTCTTCAAGGCAGATTCTTCTATATGAAGGCAGTTAATAGACCAAGGCTCAAATAATTACAGCATTCTGTGAAGCACCTACAAATTTTCAGTGATGTTCACTGCAAACATTGCACGTTTACTCAGCTTCAGTAGAGAAGAGGCTTTGTAGAGAAGAGGCATTACAACACCACCCAGGTCTTAATTTTTCAAGTAGATTTCTCCATACATCTTTAATTACCAGAAATTAACTAATCACAGTTATCACCAAAAACCTGGAAATTAAAAATCTGAAAAACCATAATGTGGACAGTTCTTCCCTGAAGCTCTACAAAGTCAACTCTGACACCATTATGAAAATTACCTGAAGTACCTACCAGGTTTTGTTTTCAAACATGTTCTGCACCACCATTTTGCCCTGTATTTTAAAGGGCAGACACACAGTTTTAAAAAAAAGAACATCTAATGCCATTAAGTAGCAATCAATCTGACAAAGTACTTCCTCCCTATGACAAACATGAGTTTAAGTTTGGGAGGTTGCCTTGTTAGTTTAAAATGTCCAAGTAGGAGCAACACTGTGTCCCTGAGAACAGCTCTCTCTACAAGTCCCTTTCTCAGAGGGGGAGCTCTGGCAATCTCACTGGTAAAGAACCTGTCATTCAAGAAGAGCTATGTCCCAGCCTCCCTGGCTGGACAGACACCAGGATAAGGTCTCAACCAGGCCTGTGTCACTCTTCTCCATGTGAAGATACACTCTATCCTTCAGTGACTGTTTTCCCATTATTTCAATAGCAAAAAGCCACTGCTACAGAGGCACTGTATTTTAAAGCTTTGAAATACAGAAAAAAGCATGTTAGTGACTCCTCCCACACTGTGAAAGGTGGGAGAAAGGGCACGGGAACACTGAAACTAACTAGACAAGGCTAAACACAAGCAAAAAACTTGTCTTCGGAAACTGATTGGTCACACTTGCTTAGCGGAGAAAGTCAGATTAACATAATTCATTGTTTATCTTGCTCTTCTGTGTGTGTGGTGGGTTTCTGGGGTTTTTTTAAGTAAATTAAAATGTAGCTTGAGAACCTGAAAAACTACAAGGGCAACACCCTCACGCATTAACTTCTGAATGAAAGCAAAAAGTTTACTTCATTTTCATATAGTACTTTTAACCGATACTTAAATTTTCATCATCTGGCTACAGAATTGCTTGTCTTCTGCAGATCTCTGCCAGATCCTAAGTGTACTCAATAACACAGGACCAAGATAAGCCTTCTTCCACCCCCCTTCTCAGATACATTTCTTCCCATCTTTCACAGCCTTATCTACATAAAGGAAAACTTTCCTGAAACACTCAATATTAAAAACCAAAAAATCCTTCAGGGCATCACACCACTAAACAGACTGTTGTTTCAGAACAGCATCCACATAAAAAAAAAACAAACCTAAACTCTAATTACCCACAACAGCCCAATTGTATCAACCGCTACTACTTTCTAAAACACCCTCAAACTATTTCAGCAAGCAATGGTAAGGCACCAGACTGCTCCTTTTCTTTCTACAATTTGTAATGCAGTTTTCCAGAGTACCTTACTCCACCTCCCTATGCCATAAGAGGGTAACTTCAACCTCCTCAGAGCAACGACTTTAATACACCCAAAAAAAATACACACACCAAAAAAAAAAAAATCCAATTTCCATAGCAAAGAGGTCCAAACTCTACATTCAGGTCACTATAGCAAGACATCTACCACTTGCTCAAGAACTTAAAACAAGTGTGTTTTTCTAGAGAGTTAAATTCAACAAAGACATGAAAAAGACTTAGAGCATCTGAAGTTTAAAAAGGCTCAGCCCAAGTTCATGTCTACAGGAGAACAGATCCTAATCCTGGTGACTAACCATTAAATGGTTCCTATTTGTTCAATAAAAAGAAACAGGTGCTAGACCAAATTATGAGTGTTACTTCCCTCTAAGTTTCTGCTGTACAGCAACTGTACAATCCTTCAGCAGCTTAAAAGATGTTAGAGAAGGTTTATTTATTTACATATTTTTCCTTTAATTAACAGATCTCACTTCTAAGTAGCATCTTCAGAAGAATAATTGTTTGTAAAGTTTTACATTACTCTTTAGAACAGACAGGCTTTTACAGTAAAAAAATGAGCTTTTCATTTTTGTTTTCAATCTGACTAGACAACCATTACAGACAGGAAATTTATGCTACGCAGGAGTGTCCTGAGAAGTTATCAAACTTGGCTCTGTGTCGAAATTCAGAGGATTATTACAGTAAAAAAAGGATGTTGCTGTTTTATCTGGCTTAGCTAAGCATCCTTTCCCCTTCAAGGAAATCAGCCAGACATTCTAGTTTTGTAATAAAAAGTTAAATGGGAGGACAACTGCCACACTGCTGTTCTAATTCCATACTAACAGGGATGGAGAATGACAAAAGAGAAAACCAAGAGTTAATTCTGGGTATACTAAATACCTGCCAGGTTAGTGTCAGCATCAGAATGCCCATTAAATGAAAACAGGGTCATTAAAAAAAAAATAATAAATCAATCCTATGTCCTCCAGTGTTGGCAAGTTAGTTAGGTTTGCAAATTCTTAGAAGCAATTTTCTTCAACCCTATATTGAAGTATCTTTCACTTAAAAATTACTAATTAGAAGTGACTAAAATATAAGTACCATTTAGCAACTAGAGGTCTGTTGCAGAAACAGCTATAAAGTAATCTACTTGAACTACAGAATATACTTGAGCCAAGAGCTCCACCCTGATCTTTGTCTCATGCCACCCTAAGAAAGAAGAATCTCTCCAAGAACAGAATATATTCATCACACCAGAATTATTACATCACAATTTTCCTTCGAAGTACTATTTCAAAATTCTCACACCCTACAATTAAAGGATTTCAAAGATTTCTATTAAGGTTTCTAACAATTTTAAGATCTTAGGATACTGAAGGTCAGGCTAGGAACCAGATCAGGCTGTAATAAAAAAAAACCCAGCCTACTCACAGAATTTTTAAAAAGCAGCAGTAACTATGCCAAAGCTATACCAGCAAATAGACACAGAAACGTTAAGACTGGTTAAAAAATAACCTGTTAAGATACACTGGGCACACACTGACCTTTAGGCCTACACTGCTACTAAAGCTTAAAAAGAAGAAAACCCATCTCCTTACCCTCGCATTAAAGTCTCTCCCTACTTACAGCTCGCAGACACGCAAGCCTAATAGCCACGGGCAGGCCAATATAGAAACCCGGGAGAAAACCCCTGGAAATGGACTACGTGCTCAGGAGCCGAAAGCAAAGGCAAAGCAGAGCGTTCCAGTAGGGAAGGGCAGCGAAGGGGAAAGCGGGGATGCAGCGGCCG